CTCGACTTCCAGTGATCTGGCTCTTCTGGTAACCTGCATTGTTTCTGTGTCCTAGGATAACTTCATATCCTTAAACACAGAAGATGGCAGTCTCATGGTCCAATACAAACTGGACTTACAGCCACTGAAAGAGAAAGGAATTAGAGGCACTATCAACAATGGAAAGATCGTTTGGTATGTTCTTGGTGTCTTTTTACTTGAATTGTTAAATATTATATCTACCTTTAAAATTAATTCAGTGCCAACATACAGAAACTGAACTAAATATACATCTTCTATTACCAGATGAACTTATTAACTGGGGAATGCATCTTTTCAAAATTTAAACATTTGGGTATGAAATATGTGATGTGTATGGCATATATAAGCTATGGTTCCTTTCAAATAAAACCATTTATTAAAATCTTTTAGTATCAGATTGTTCTGCCAAACTGCTACTATGCCATCTTCCTAGCATGTATATAAATGAATCCAAAGGAAAACAAATGCAGATATCAAAGCTCTGAGCCACTGAAAATAGGATTTTTTCTTTTCCATCACTTGCTGGTTCATCTCTCATGTATTCTAGATTCTAATCAAAATTGGAAAACAACAGAAACTTATGAGAATAAATGTGGGTGATCAAAATATTAGAATTGAAGGGGAAATATTTGATTTCAGCACATTATCTGGGTGGAATTCCAATTGCAATTAGGGAAAGGTAAGACAGTATGGTTTTTTAAAAAAGCTATCACCTCTCATAGTGGTAATGATTGCTGCCAATAAATCTAGTAGTCTACCTTTGTTTTAGTTACTTTTCCTTTGTTACTGAGACAAATATCCAATAGCCAAAGTTACAGGGGAAAGGTTTACTTAACTCATAGTTTGTAGAGTTTCAGTCCATAATTGGCTCCAAGGCATGGTGGCATATGGCAGAGGGGCAACAGTTCATGGCAGCAAAAGACAGCAAAAGCAATGAGAGAGAGAGAGAGAGAGAGAGAGAGAGAGAGAGAGAGAGAGAGAGGACAAGACCCTTTCTGTTCCTTGTATTGTATCCAGTCTATTGGGATTAAGGTGGTGCCAATCCAGTCAGTGGACCAATCTAGCAATTACCCACCCTTAATCCAGCACCCTTAATCCCAGCATTGCACCTCTAATCAATCACACTCTAGATTCAGCCACCTGCAAAAAAAGCTGCATGACTGCATGAGTCTTTACTCTAGACACAAACCATAACAGCCTTGTTTAATTAAGGCCACGTGAACTCTTCAATATTCACAGTGTAACTGACAGAGTAGAACAGATTCTAAATACTATCCAAAAGTTTGGGGCAACTGTGTGTTACTCACGTTGTTATTCTCAGAAAGGAGAGAAACCACAAAGCGCATCCTGGAGTTGACAGTGCTGCCAACCAG